TTCATGATTTTAGACCTATCTCCTGTTACAATTTGATTTACAAGTGTATCTCTAAGTTAGTTGCAGCAAAGCTTAGCTCCATCTTGCCTTTTCTTATTAGTCCCTCTCAGAATGCCTTTGTGAAGGGTAGACATATATTTGAAAATGTGATTTTGGCACATGAATTGCTTAATGGTTATCATAAAGCTTCACATCTTCCTAATTGTGCAATGAAAGTTGATCTCAAAAAAGCTTTTTATAATATTCACTGGTAATTTATCATTGATACATTGAAGCTGATAGGATTCCCCGAGTGCCTTATCCTTTGGATCACACAATGTATTACTACACCATCTTATTACATTTATCTCAATGGAGTACTCTTTGGTTTCTTTAAAGGATAAAGAGAAATTAGGCAAGGGGACCCCATTTCCCCATTGTTGTTTGTCTTGGCTATAGAAGTTTTCACCCTCTCTATAAACAATTCAATTGCCAACAACCGAAGTTTTAAATTTCATTGGAGGTGCAGCAGATTGGCCCTTTCTCACTTAACCTTTGCTGATGATGTGTTGTTGTTCTCCCATGGAAACCTTTCTTCAATTCAAAGAATTTTTCAAGCCCTCAATCAATTTCTTGTTTTTTTTTTGGTTTGAGTATTAACCTCTCCAATAGCTTAGTCTTCTTTTCAAGAGTTTAAAGCCATGTAAAAACTGATATACAATCCCTTCTATAATTTGGGTCTGGCACACTACTTGTTAATTACTTGGGTCTCCCATTCTCATCAAAAGCCATTAGCTCAACTGATTGTACCTCCCTAGTGGAAAGAATCACTGCAAGAGTGAAGATGTGGACTTCCAGATTTTTCTTATTTGCAGAGAGAGTTGTCCTCACTAAATCTATCATGTGTTCCATGCAATCTTATTGGGCTCAAAACTTTATTTTACTTAAGAAAGTTATTGAGGAGGTTAACCAAATTTTAAAGAGATTTTTATGGTCTAATCCTGAACTAAAGAAATCATGTGCTAAGGTGGCTTGGGAGGTGGTTTGTAGGCCTAATATTAATGGGGTCTGGGCTTTCCCAACCTTGAAATGACGAACATAATTGCCAATCTGAGACATGTATGGAAACTTTTTGCTAGAAGAAAGGAAAGTCTTTGGGTTTCTTAGACATATAGATATCTGATCAAGAATATAAGCTTCTGAACTATTAAACCTTCAGCTCTAAGCTCAGGTTTTTGGAGAAGGTTGTTGAAGTTAAGGGATATGGCAAGGGGCCTTGTAAAGCATAGGGTGGGGAAGGGTACTAACACAATGATGTGGCTTGATTGCTGGCTGCTAAATGGGCCATTAGTGAACTAGCTTAACCTTAATGATGGGAAAATTCTTCAACTGGACTTGAGAGTCAAAGTTAAAAGTCCAATTTCCTTTAATCATTGGGTTGTTCCGGCATCATTTGCTCACATACCATTTTTCCAATCACAAAACTTTCACTCCCAGTTACAAGAATTACGAGCCTCATCCAATGAGCTTGACACAGTCAATTGGGTACCCCCCCCCCCCCCCCCATATTCATCTTCCCTTAAAACCACACCATTTGGTTTAAGAATCATATCCCTAAGCACAGTTTTATTGCTTGGCTTGCCATAAAGGGTAGATTAAGTACACTTGTCAGGAAAACTATAAAGCACAAGCATCACACTAATGCTTGCTATCTTTGTCTGGCTAATAATGAGTCTTTAGATCACTTATTTTTTCAATGTAACTTATCAAGGATGATTTGGTCCTTTGTTCAGCACACAGCAGGGTTTTACATCCAACCATCTAGCTGGAAGGATTTAATTGCATGGTGTGCAGCAAACTGGAGGCCCAAAATCATTCTTGTGCATAGACTACTTCTCTTTGCTGCAGTTTCTTTCTATGGATGGAGAGGAACAATAGAACTTTCAGAAATTCTTCATCAACCACTACCTCCATCATTAACCAGATAAATAGGTGTACTAGAGGAAGACTTGCTTCAATCACCCTAAAAAGAGCTTCTGACTTAAGGGATATTCGTAAGTTGAGGATTTGCAGAGACTTTTTAATGAAGGTTGTAGATTTGCCAATGCCCAGACTTTTGCATTTGATTAATTTGTGCATCTGTCAATGGGTTGTCCATCTGTGCTTGGTGCAACATACTTGTTCCTTGATATTTGCTTGATCAAAAGCTTCTGTTGTCTAGCTTGTTGTAAAAGTTGCAGCTGACAGCTGTGAGTCAATCTCTCTCTTTGTAAGCGTTTGTCTGGCCTGTTGTTTAGGTTGTTAATATGTAGGGCTTATGTGTTAGTGTTGTTTTGTTCCTACCTAGGCAGCTTATTAGTCCCATTGGGATCTCCATGTAAATTCTCCCCTTATCTTAATACAAGCTTACACTTTAACCCAAAAAAAAAAAAAATTTGGTGCGAGGGGTTGCATTGGAAGGACGCACCTCTGGTGTACCAGTTACTGTGTTGATTATAAACTCAAGTGAAACATATATATAGTGTTTATTTTATTTATATTTTGTTAATATTATTTGAATTCACATTATTTGAGAAGAAAAAAGTAATGTTAGTTAAAACTTTTGAGACATTTGAGTAAACTAAACATGACTAGCTCTGAAGATTCAAAATTATTTAAGGGTAAAATTGAAATATATTAATAAAAAATTTAAAACCTAAAAACACTCACTGTGCTATGCGATAAGCGATTAGTGATTAGCAACCTCTATGACGATTAAAATTTTTGCTACGTTTAAGCCGTGCGAAATAGTTCAAGTGGTAGGCTAAATCGTAAACAAACACACTTATTTTTATAAATCGCTTATCGTGTTCTTTGTTAAGTGTTCAACGACGTTATCAAACAGGTCCTAAGTCTTCCTTCCTATTCTAGAAACTTAAATACCAATGGACAATATTAAATTCCACTAAATAAGATTTAAAGTTCACGAATTATACTGTCAGTTAAACCACAAATGGACAAGTATAATCCTAACCCATGATAATTACATTGCAATCCAAATTTTTAAAAATAAAGAGCATATGATCACAAAATATAATTTTTAGGGTTAATTATACTCACATCCTTTGAGGTTTGCGTTATTGACAGCCAGATGATAGTTGGCCTTTTTTGAACACTCACTCCCCTTGTCAAAAATTGCTACCAAACAGCCCCTAAAAAGGTATAAAAAGAGGTTATAATAATTTCTTAATCCAAAATAACAGAATATTTACATGACCAAAATACCCCATCATTATTTTCCACATGTTTTAAAGCACCTGTCTCACCCTCACCTACCACCACTGCCCCCAAAAAACATAGCCGCCACTACCGCCATCTCTCAACCTCTTATAAACCATCACCACCATGGCCTCTGCACCTTCTCCTACCACGGCCACCCTGTGAAACCGCCACCTAGCTTGAACGTAATTGGAGAAATCATTGTTCTAGTAGGTGTAGAAGACGTGCAACAAGGTATGATGTGGAGTTCCATATTAGTCCAGATTGCGTTAACTTTGGACCCTGTAAGTCTCAAATTGTCATCATTGAAGGGATGGGGATGGTATTGTGGGGTTGGATTATTCCTTTTCCGGACCCAACTGCCACCGGAATGGGCTCACATACCCCTCCATCGCCGCGCGTGGCGTTGCACCCACTTGTGCACTTCATCTTCTTCCCTAGCGAACCCAGAAGAAGCTCTGTTTCCCTTTCGCCACCAGCAACCAACGTTGGAATATCATTGCAATGATTTTTCCACTGCAAAACTAGTTTTATACCCGGTGCACGTTCTTCCGGGCCACACCATCTTGATCAATCGTCACCACCCCACCACTTCAACCACCCCCACCGCTGCTACTCAACCACTTCCACCATAAGAACACAGAAAATCAAATAATTCACCACCAACTTAACGTTAACCAACCAACCATGAACTTCTCTCAATGTGTTGGAAATCCACAAAATTTATAGAATTTTAGAGTTGCAGATCTCCGTGTGATTCTCTCTCAATATGCGGATTTGTATATATATATATATATATATATATATATATTTATATATATGAGATTTATTTATATATATGAGATTTATTCTTACATGTATGTGGATTTTGATTTGTACTTGTGTAGATTTGGATGGAGATTACGCTCAATTTGATGATGTATATATGGGTGGTGGTGGGGATGTGGAGTGGTGATGTTGGTGGTTGTGATACAAGGGTTTGAATGTGGATTTCACCCACATTTTTTACTGTCATTTCTTTGCATATAAGTGTAGTTTGGTCTAATTAATGAATTGTAGAGGTTAAAAATGTAATTTTACAGTCCAAACAAGTCTACTATCAAGTCAAAGGGCAATAGTGTCAATTCACTGTATCAAACGTGGCAGAGGGGTGCCTTTGTTAACTTTATCAACTTTGTCAAACCTGAGGGGTGGTCAATGTTCAAAATGGAGCTAACTTTCATTTGACTCTCAATAAGATAAATCTGAGGGGTGTCATTTTAATTAACTCTAATTTTTATTTATTTAAAATTTTCAACAATTTGTATATCAAATAATGCACGTGTAAGCAAGTTTAATTAAATTGCAAGTAAATATTACTTTCGTAGTGAGTTTTTTTTTTTTTTTTTAATTCGAAATATTACTTTGGTAGTTTGGTAATGGTGACAACAACAACTAAATGAATGCAACAAATAGACAAGTACAAACTTACTCCATATTAATTGTTAATTGATGGATGGTAACTATAGTCTATAGTTAATCTAATGAATAACAATAATCCCATGATGAAAGCATAGTTGTTGCATTACTTTGTTATAGCAACAATATTAATTCCCTAACAACTCATTCAAGTTGTATTATTAGAAAACTCAACCCATTCTTCCCGCCATATAAACTCTCCCTCTCCCAACAATTTGAGCCATCCCCAACCCAAGCCAATCGAGTCATTGCCCAGTACGTGGTTCGTTTGTGGATGCAAAAAAAGAAAGACTTGCACAACAACAATGGCTTTCATTACTAGCAATTCAAAAAATAATCTCTTTTTTTTCTTGTGCTTGGCTTCAATAGTGCCTAGTTTACATGCCCACGTCAAAGAATTCGATGAGTATTGGCAAATCAGGGCCAAGGAAGCCCTTGATGATTACTGGCAAATCAGGGCCAAGGAAGCTCATCTAGCCACCCTCGATTCACATCATCCAAATCCAGAGGAAGTCACTGATCATTTCAACATGCATGTCGCCGAGTGAGTTAAAATTCTCATACTTGTTTATAGGGTAATTGCAAAAAAAAAAATCAAAAATCAACATGCCAGTGGTCTAGCGGTATCAAATCCCTAGTTCTTAAAGAGAGGTTAATGATTCGAGCCTCAGTGGAGGCACGTGTGTGTAAGTACTAACTAAGAAAAAAAAAAAAAAAAAAAAAAATTTCTCGTAACTTTTAAGATTTTGCAAATATCTACCCGGTGATGCATCTAACCTCTTGGTTTAAAAGTTGCAACTTACTCCCAATTGTTAAAGTGTCGTTAAAATATATGTAACTTATCATTTTACCCTTCAGGAAATAAAATAACCACAAAAACACTAAATGACAAAATTAACGATATATAGATGTGTAAAAGAAATATGAATACCGGTTGATTTATGAATCTAAAAATGATTAAAGGTTATTTTAATTAATAAAGAAGGGTATTATAGAGATTTCAGATTAAAAAATATATCAATTTTCTGTCACTATTATAATGGTACGCAAATGCAAATGACTTGTAGGTATTAGCGTATTTTTGGAACAAAAAATGACAAACATCATGAGTTAAATTTCATGAACTTTATCGCGTTGCAACTGTTTTGTTAGTCGTTTCATTGAATTTCATAATCTTTATCATAAAAGAACGTGGCAACAGTTTTGTTAGTCGTTTTGTGCAAAAACTAAAGCCCATAGAGCTCTCTACAAAATCGTGAAAGTTGGAGGAGGGATCATTTACCGGATAGAACTCGCCTTGTGAAAGCATCATCTTGATAATATTATATATATCATAAATGTACTTAATGCCTTTCTTTTTTATGCTTTGAATTTTTTTTAGGGCATTAGTTGGTGGTACTAATAGCACAAGGAGGGGCCTTAGAAAACATAGAGGCAAATGCAAGGCGACGAACCCCATTGACCGGTGTTGGAGGTGCCGCCCTGATTGGGCTACTAACCGGAAGAGGCTGGCCGACTGCGTGCTTGGCTTTGGGCGCAACACCACCGGTGGAAAGTACGGGGAGTTCTATCTGGTAAATGATCCCTCGGACGATGATATGCAGAATCCCAAGCCCGGAACCCTTCGCTATGCTGTGATCCAGGAGAAGCCTCTGTGGATCATTTTTTCGCGGTCTATGACTATCAGACTCAATCAGGAACTCATCATGACGAGTCATAAGACGATTGATGCTAGGGGAGTGAATGTCCATATTGCATATGGTGCAGGCATTACCATCCAATATGTCAAGAACATCATCATCCATGGACTTCGCATTCATGACATTGTTCCAGGAAGTGGTGGTATCATCAGAGATTCTGAAAACCATTTTGGTTTAAGAACCAAAAGTGATGGTGATGCGATATCCATTTTTGGTTCGAGCAAAGTGTGGATTGATCATGTTTCCATGTCCAACTGCACAGATGGTCTCATTGATGCTATCATGGGCTCGACTGCAATGACCATCTCCAACTGCCATTTCACTCGCCACAATGAGGTAATTATATATATATATATATAATGTGATCAAATAGTAAAATTGGACAACGAGTGACAAAATACAAGTAAAATTTTAAACACATCATGAACATTTTTATTTTTAACCCGCATGGGTAGTCATGTGGTTGAAGGGTGTCATGTGGTTGAAGGGTGTCAGGGGGCGAATCGTAAATTCGGACGTCCTGAGTTTAGCTCTCAATGATATGTATGATTTGTAGGTAATTTCACATATCACAAATTTACCTTGCAACCATAAGTCCAAAAATCCAATGACTGGAAGGGTTCTAAAAATTATGAAAATTAGAGAAGATGGTTATTTGGTTGCTTATTAATTAGTAAGTTTGTATTATTATTATTATTATCATCATCATCATCATCTTATATACAATTTAGAGTTTTAATTCAATCGCAGTCATATTTTTAAGTTTACAAATTATCATTCTTCCTAACCCGTGCAACCATTGGTCGGTGGTGGTTATGATCGACCTTTTACGAATTCAAATCTTTTCCCAAGCATATCAAGATTAAGTAGATGATGAAGATTAATTCACATGAGGTGGGATCTACTCTACCGACAATGTATCATGTGAGATTAATTAATTTTCACTTTTTCCCATGCAAAGGGAATATATGATTTTAATTCGACATTCTACCTCAAAACGAAGTATTGTAAAATGATTCAAAAAAATTACATAAACAAATAGTATGGTAATTTGTTATGATGACTGAAACTAATAGCTAAATAAATATATTATTGGCCTTTGTCATATATTTATTTCCCATACAGGTGATGTTGTTTGGTGCAAGTGATGAGTACTCGGGTGATGCAAAAATGCAAATTACAGTGGCATTCAACCACTTTGGACAAGGTTTAACACAGAGGATGCCAAGATGTAGATGGGGCTTTGTCCATGTTGTGAACAATGACTACACTCATTGGCTCATGTACGCCATTGGTGGTAGCTCTCATCCTACCATCATCAGCCAAGGCAATCGATTCATTGCCCCTCCTAATAGTAATTGTAAACAGGTATTTAATTAAGCATAAAATATAACCATTACATGATTCATGAATGCACAAACACACACACACACACACACACATATACATATATATAGCTCAATGAAATGTTACACATTGGAGTATTAGTTTTGGTCTGCATATATGGTTTCAGGTGACCATGAGGGTCTCTGCTCCGGAGAGTGAGTGGAGGAATTGGCAATGGAGGTCAGAGGGAGATCTGATGATGAATGGAGCGTACTTTGTTGAATCTGGGGGACCACTCAAAAAGAAACCATTCTCAAGGTTGGATGTGATCAAAGCCAAGCCAGGGACAGAGGTAACCAGACTCACCCGCAATGCCGGTGCACTAAACTGCTATCCAAACAGCCCTTGTTAACTCAACACATTTTTGATCTTTTCATGTCTTGTCTTACATATTTTCCTTTTGAGTTGGATGTAAAGCCTAACAATATTGTTATTACAACTTATATAGGTTAGGCAAAGAAAAAGGAGGATTGAAAATAGAATATTGCCATTGTTGTTTTTCTTTTTATCCTTTTTGTTATTTGACATTTTGAGCTAGGAGAAAAAAACAAATAAACATGACATATGATCGACATTCGAAGGTACTATCTCCTCGTGCTACGTAATGAAGAAGAAGATTCTCTCACACACTGTACATGAACCGTATAATGGATTGTAGCATAAATCAAGGAGGAAACTAATTACTAAAATTAAAAGATTTTCTAATTTAAAACTTTGACTTCCATTGATTGATTCCATTTCCTTCTCAATTCAAATATTCCTTGAGAATATTCTTCTTCATTATTCCCCCTCAAACTGGACTGAGGAGGACTCAATGAATCTCAAATCTCGAAAGGTGTCGCGAGCAAGAGGCTTGGTAAAAATGTCTATTAATTGTTGTTCGGAAGGAATAAAGCGAGTTGTTAATGATCCAAGAGCAACTTTTCTCGAATAAAATGATAATCAATTTCGATATGTTTCATACGAGCATCGAAAACTGGATTAACCATCATGTAAAATGCACTAATGTTACAAAAAGTATAGGAGGTTGAGAAAGGGGCATCCCAAGAACTCAAAGTATAAAGGAGATCTAAGTTAATTCTGCCGTAGTAGATGCCATTGCATGATGTTCAGTGTAATGACCTGGTCATTTCCTTCCTTTCATTTTTCCTCAAAATTTTACGGATGAATTTTTTTTGTTGAAATTTCTTTTCTGAGTTTGGTTTCTTGTCACTTAGTGTCATCTCGAGTGCTCAGAAATGGTTTCTGAGACTCTTTCCTTTGAATTGACAACTTTCTTTCAGGACCGAGTCATTTCCACATTTTTCGTTTTTCGACACTATTCACTTTTCGTCCTTCTCTCTATTTTGTCTTTGCCCCATTTGTCACTTTGTTGGCATAACCTCACATTCTGTGTTCGGAGTTAGTTTTTGACTTCATGTATCTTCATTCTAAGTTGTTTCCACAAAATACGTATCTTTACTTTTGTCGAAAAGCAATCTGGTTGCTCCCGGTGTCCATAGGGGCATGAATGCATAGTTCTTAAGAAATATTTTTGTTTCTTGGAGTGTTTTTCGTAAATATCTTTTGAAGATATTTTATTTCAAGGGTTTTTAAGAAAATATTTTTGGAAGATATTTTCATTTTGGGTCATTATTGCAGTTTTCACTTTTTGGAGGTGTCATTGTGCAATTAATGAAAGTTATTGCAAAAATGCCTCGTTTTGAGCCTGGATCCTCGTACGGGATTCATTTTCACTTTTCGTTGAGTCATGTACTCTTAGAATTACCTTCTGATCATTTTCCCCCAGTTTCAGGGTTTTGGCCCTAGTTGCCACCAAACTTGTTCGGGACATGTCTCTCTGCTCAGGACTCAATTTTTGACGCCATTTTTTCTGTTGTTCATATTTTCTCATTTTGGTTCTTTTTGGTTCATAAAGTTTAGTCATTTGATTGCATTTGCTCAAGTTTCACTTTTTCGGACCCGGCGGGGCCCTTTAGGTGCACTTTTAGGGTTTTCCTATAAAAGGTAGGTGAGACATTTCATTTTTGACCTTCTCCTCCCTTTATGCATGACAAGCAGCTGCCATGGCAGCCCAAGGGGGGCTGCCACCCTTCTTCTCTCAATTAAACCTCATTTCCTTTGTTAAAAAATCATAGTGCCTTTGCGTTTTGTGTTTGTCTTAATGACGCGCATCTTTCCCCCTTACTAGAACCTGTTTTTGGCCATTTTTTGAGTTCGGGTTTGAAGTCAAGTAAGGATTTTGGTAGGTCCTCCTTGGAGTTTTATGTTCACGGCGTTTTCCCGGACAAAACCCCGAAGTATTGTCGGATTCGAAACCGTTTCATTTTGGTGGCTTTTGAGATTTTCATCTCAAATTGAGGTAAGGAATGTCTTAGGTTTAAATTAATGTTGTATTGAATTTTATATAAGCATATACAACTTGTAAGCATGCCTTTGTTCAAGTTTTAGAATTTAATTTAATTATTTTCTATGTTTAAGATTTAATTCTCATGAAGGTGTGTACTTTAGAATTAAATTGTGACATGCTAGTAAATTAGGCCTTGGTATGTATATCAACATATATTAAATTGGGAGCATTTGAATAAGAAATGCAAATTTTATTTAATATTTATGTTTTGTGAAAGATAAATCACATAGTTGTAACAAGCATGCAATCAACTTGTAATGTGATATTAATATAGGCCTTGGTATGTTCTTCAACTTATGTAAAATTAAGGACATTTGGAGTTATTTGAAAATCTAGAGAAAATTAATTAATGAGTTTAATTAATTTTATTTTAAGTATTTTAATCCATTGATTCGATATTTGATGTGATATATGTGAAGACTATGCTATGTCCCTTAACATATATTAATTTGAGAAAATTTGAGATTGATTTGAAATATAGAGAATTTAATTATTTTAGTTAATTAAATTATATCTATTTGTTCCATGGATTTAACTATGTCTTTGAAATTGCTTCTATGTTTAAATCAAAGAATTTGACTTAGCATGATATAGGATATCATTGTCTTGCATGACTTATTTAAATATATCTTATGTAGGTATATAGCTTGTTAGAATATTACAATTGTTTACCTTGAAAGCTAGTTACTAAATTGTAACTTATTTAGTACTTGTGACTTAGGATGGTAATTTGGTTCAATTGTTGTAAAATATTCTTAGTTTGGGTATAAATTGCATATTGAGGACATGACATGTCATATGCTATATAGACTTGAATTCTAGAATATGGTTTGTATAGATTCAACCTTACTTGTGCATGGAATGTGGTAACTTGCATTTGATTTTGTATAAGTTTTGAACTTATTGATTTTGGAAAGTTTGTGAGGACATAATTTATGTGATGGCTAGGGTTTGACTCTAGTACGTGGACAAGTGTCTTCTAAGTCATAAGTGCGCACTAGGTGGTACCTTGTGGGTCGTAATTACCTGAAAATACTTGCTTGGTCTAGCAACCGCATGTCCTAGTCTTTTCACTATTTGATTTCGCGTTTAATTTGAAGTTGTTAATCATAGATTACTTGTAGCTTGAGAATTGATACTTGCTTTGGGTATTTGAATCTTGTTTAGTATACTTGAACTTGTATACTTGTTCCATGAGTTTAAATAGAATTTAGTATACTTGTGTTGTGTACTTGATATACGAGATTCCACATTAAATGTACACTTGTGTGAATATACTTAGACATTGCATGACTTGTCTTAATATGGTTTAGTATACTTGGAAATGTATGCTTATATGTTGTATATCGTGTTTTAGCATCGTTTTGTATACCTGAGTATGTATACTTGTATGCCGTTGTTTGTTTCAATTGCATGAGTAGCTTAGGATGATCCCTGAGTCTCACTTATGACATAGACGTTAGGTAGCATGATCCTTGAATTGCTTCATGTAAATGTAATAACCTTGTAAAATGCTAGGTCGATGTATGCTCATTTTCTATGAGTAGCTTTATATTACTCACCCCGAAGTTACTGGGGATTTGTTTCAGGTATGAAGACTTGGTTTATAATGCTCATCATGCCTTGGATGACTTGTAGCTTTCAAATTTTCATTTCATGCAAATGTTAGCATGAAATATCATTTTGTAGCCTTATACGTCAAAACTTGTATTTTTTGATTCCATACATGTAATGTGTACATGAGTACACTCTTTACAATGTATTTGGCATGTATAAGATGAGGCTATAGGCCAATGGTATCTAGTTTGTATCCTATGTAACTTTCAACTTCATGAAATATTATGAAAATATTGAAAAATGACAAGTCTTTGCCTCACTATGTTTGCATCGGGTGTGGGAATTTCATTTTTATTCTTTCATAGGGTCTCATTAATCATGTGTGAAGTGTGGCGAAGGGCCAAATGGTAATTTGAAATCATTTGTTAATTTTGGTTTTCAAATTTCCCATTTCTCGTTCATTTATGCCTTTTTGGCCGTCGGGGGGTCGAATTTTGCATCAGCGGTATTTTTAATCCATGGACCATTGTAGCACATCCTATTAGGTAAGTTATGTTTGCGTGCATGATCATTTTCAAGTTTAGAGTCTATTTCACAAAATGAGTACTCGATGGATTTACTTTTGAGTTTTTAAGCCTTTACTAATCTAGGGGCATTTTGGTCATTTCATAGTTGTTGATGTTGTTGTTGGATTTTTTTTTTTTTTTTTTTTTTTTTTTTTTTTTTTTTTTTTTTTTTACGGCATTGCCGGGTAGAAAATTTGATTTCGGAATGGGTTTCTTTTTCGTGTTTTTCCAGAAAAATTCGTTTGATAGCCCATTTCTGTTTTCAGATCAGGACAGTTACTGTAGCAGCTTTTTGCCCTCTTCTGATCTAGGGGCATTTTGGGAATTTCTCAGTGTGTTTTTTTCGTTTCCTTTCATGTGGTCGGGTATAAAACTCGATTTTAGGGGTGGATTCTTTTTCGTATTTTTCCAGAAAAATCCGTTTCAAGCCTCAGTTCTGGAAAATCTGCTTTGGACCCTTATTGTCAACATGTGCATGCCATTGGGCGCCGCGCACGCATGGGGTTGCCATGGCCTTCGTCGGGCTGCCGCGACGTCTCAACTTCAAACCCTCTTTTCTCCCTCGTCCGGACTCCAAGTCGAGTGAACGTTTTTTTGAACTTGACTAATTTTTCGCTGTCTTTCCAACGGTGTGCTCGGTTGCTCCCTGATCTTTCTGGATAATTATTAGTTTACCCTTTTAGCCTTAGGTGCTCGTTTTTTTTCGTCTTGCCGTTTCTCCTTCGTCCAGACTCCGAATCATGCGATTCTTTAGTCTATCTTGATTAGTTTTTTGTTGTCATTCCAACGGTGTACTCGGTGGCACCCGAATCCATAGTT